TGGGCTACAAATTGAAGCTGCATCGACACTTGGCGAAATTGCAATTGCATCCCTTTCAAGCTCACGTGCATCCGGCGCCAGTGGACATTTTGAATACTTTACGCCTTCGGATTTGGCAAGAAAATGGAGATTATCCTTGGCAAAGTTTGCACTCGAAATCTGCTTCTGTTGATAACTCCTCCTCCGGCTACTGCCATCCTCTACACGGGCCCTGGGGGCTCCCCGAAGGGGCTCTATTGAAGCTGATGACAAAGATTGCGCAACTGCCAACTTAAAAGCGGGGTTCGGGCCTCCAGGCGTGGAAGGAAAGCACGGGTAGGGGTTACAGAATACATTTTCCACACCGGCAGGCTGATGAACGGGGCCAGCCAGCCTTGCACACAATTCAGGCGGCAGCGCCCCCGTCCTCAGTAAGGCTTGAACTCGGGGCCTTCGGTGGAACCTGCGCCTAGACCGTCGTGACCTGGATATCACATTTGATCGGGTCACCGGCTTAGGTGAGACCACCCGATCCGGACGGTCAGCCTTTGCATCACGTGAGGCAGCACAACACCCGCCTTGTTCCGCCTCTCCCTCCAAGGCCTCAACTGGAAAAAATCTTGCACCTGAGATCCTAACCAAACCTCTCCTAGTTGCTCTGGGCATGGTGAAGGCAGCAGCGAGGCAGTTGACACAATGAGTATGGAGGCTTTGCACCAGATGGTCAAGGCCCTCAGTAGGCGGGCCTGCCATTTGCGCGATTTGGCTGTGATGCACAAAACCACAGATTGGTTCGGCGGGGTCAGCGGCACATATGGGGCTCTGTCCACAATGTTGACACAGCGCCGGGTTTCCACAGTCAGTATCCCCCTCCTCGCTGTCAGAACGCACAAGGACCCGTTGCCCTATGCGGTTTGATCCCGCAGTGCGCCCCAGGCGATCTATGTGGGAGGAAATCTCCTTACTGCTGAAATTGGGGTTAGGGTCCGCAAAACGTGGTGAGGAGCAAGGGTTAGGGCAAAGAAATGGTGTTTCAAATCGGTCTGGTTGGCGCTCCGTCTCCTCATCCCACGCATTGTCGCACAGTACGGTGCCCAAGCGATCCTCGGAGTGGGGAAGTTCTGATATGCTGCGTTCACAGACATAAGCACGGCGGGAAGTGGTTAAAGACTCGGCTGACGAGAGATTGTCCACAGACGCGCTCAGAGACCTCCCGCCTTCGTCAAGTCGCAAGTGCACGCTCAAGGGAAACGCTGAGACCTCCCGAAGTATCTTAATGAGATCAGACCCCAACCAGCCCCTAGGAGCATCTTTCGTCGCCGAGCTGCAAGCCGTCGTAGACGTGTCCGAAGATGAATTCAGCATGCATTCTGGTGAGAAACCTCAGCCACTTTAGGCAAGGGCGGCCCTACGTCCTAGACTACAGGTGGCTAGTTACACCCGCCAACCTCAGTCGTTTTCAGACGAGGGGTAGGCCCTACCAAAGTCTGTACAGGCGGGGTTCTACCGGAGCCCGGGCAGGCTGCCTCAGAAGCAAACCTCAGCCGAACAGGCGAGGGAAGGACCAAGGGGTGCCCGGGGCCCTCCAAGCACCGCTGAGGGTCGAACCTCAGCCAAAAGGCGAGGAAGGAGCCTGAGTGTGCCTGGGGAGACGAGTGCCAAGGCTCGGGGCCTACGGCACGGAAGGCTGGGCAGCCTGGGCAGCTGCCAGCTCGCGCCTTCGCTTGGCCACATAGGCCGTGGTAGGAGCATCTTTCTCACTTCGCGGACAGCAAGTCGCGGCCAGAGGCCTGAATTCATTCCAGTGGCGCTTGTCCACGGCCAGAGGCCTGTCCGAAAAGCTGCACCGAATTAAGTGGTATGCACAACCTAGTCCTGCACAGACCCTGGGCGAAGTCAAAAAGACCTCAGCCCCAAGAAAGCACTCTGTCAGAGCCCTACTGTACTGGCAAGGAGAGTGACAAGACTCCTCAAGCCCTTCTTGGGAAAGACAAACCCTGACAGGTGCTCAAGCCGAACATTGAGAGGTGAAAGCTGTACAACCTAACTGACACTACCCTCAGTCTGGCACTCAGCTTGCAGTGACCTCAGCCCTGAGGCGAGGTCACTCAGTGAAGCTAGGCGAGGCAACATGCCGTAAAGTGCCTAGCCTCAAGCCCTCACAGCCCAGGGGTTCCTCAACCTCACCTTGCACAGAGCAGCGCCCCTCAATTCGGTACCTTTAGCGCGGGGCCCACGCACTCCCCTCAACAAGGCGCAGGGAGCGACGCTTTCCCTTCAACTCAACTTCGTGCTGGCGCAGGGAACAACGCCCTGCTATGCTCTCTGCGAGTGGAGACTTTGAAGCCCGAAGACTGCTCCCAGTAAACCTGCTGACTGCTCACTAGGGAAAGGGCAAAACTTTGAGGCCCGCACAGCAGGGGACCTTCCCTACCTGAGGGAAAGGAACCAGGCTGTTCCCTGGGAAGCCTCTGACTGCTTCAAGGGAAGGGGCCAAACTGGCAATCTGGACTGCAGATCACAGACTACACAAATGCAAAAACCAAAGCCTATCACCCTTACATCCTCAGCCCTAAGGCGAGGAGTGCAAGAGCGACTGCGGAAAGGCACCTCGCTGCCTCAACTTGCCCAGTGAGGAGGTACGAGACACGATCCCTGTCAGCTGCCAGGTGAGACCCATGGCGTGCCTATAAGAACACCCAGAAAACTAATAACGGGCGAAGGCGGGCAAACCAAGGCAAGGGGAGGGAGCCTACTCAGCCTGTGCTGCCATCCACTGTCAGCAAGCAGACAGCAGGGCGGAGAAACTATCCCTAAAACCAGCCCTAAACCCAAGGCCAGCAGAGGAGCAGTCACAGAGTCAGGGAAGACTGCTCACTGCTGCTAGCGCGCGAGCCTGCTGGGAGGCCACATACATCCCAACAGAGGGCCCAAACCTACCTCAGCCTGCAGGCGAGGCAAACAACTAAGGGCATCCTAAACCCCTAAAGGCGAAAGTCCTCTGCACACGGGCAGCTGGCCGAGAACTAACTAGGCTATGCAGGATCACACGCCGGCGCGTGTCCTCACCAAGTGCAGTCAGCAAGCAGGAAGCTGCACACCTAGTGCCTAAAACAACTCACCACCAGCCAAAAGTAGGCGAAACCACGCCGGGAGCGAGCAGGAAGCCACACAGAGTCCCTGCGCCCAGCAGCGACAGCTGCCTACAACAGACGGGGACGTGCTGCAGGGCATAATAAGAGCATGCCTCAAAAGAATCGAGGCGCGGGTTTAGGATGCAGCAAAACCCCTCATGGCACCTGCAAAGGCATGAAAGGGAACAAGGGCTAGCACAACCCTACAAAGAACCCCAGGCAATTGCAGTTGCTGATGCTCAGCAAAAGCCCACGAGTGGTCCAGACTGAACCTTCTGCGTGACACCACACATGGGAAGGCCAGCCTGTCATGAGTGCGCGTGCCACGTCCAAGCCGGGAAAGCAACCCACTGACCAGCGAGGCATAAAACAAAGCCGCTTCGAGCACACAGTCCTCAGCCCTAAGGCGAGGACTAGGGCCTGCTAACTGGAAAAGAAGCGGCAAAACGGGCATCGTCCAAAGGGCAAAGAGGAACAGGTTTCCTACAAAGGTGCTTGAAAGACCGGCAGTCACAGTGAAGACCAACGCCCCTAGAGGTAAGTACTGCTCAGCCTGTTCGCCTACAGGAGAACTCCCTTCCGCGAGGAGGGCCGGCCAAAACTTGTCGCAAGAAATTGCACTGCAAAATTCAAGCAAAACCGACCAAACCATGCAAAATCAAGAAAATCACATGGAAGTGTCACACCATGGCAACTACTGCTCTTCGGCTTGAGCCGGAACTGCACCTACCCCGCCCCTGCTGCACAGGCAGCCTACGAGGAAACAAGCGGTTAGGTTCGAGCCTGTTAAGGACCCACCCGTAGTTACGGCCTCAAGGCTGGCGGCCACGACGGCACTGGAGGCTTGAGCACTCATGGCCTTGAGCCAAGAGGCCTGAATTCATTCCGGTGGCGCGAGAAGTCCACGGCCAGAGGCCTGTCCGAAGAAACCCTAAAGCATGCATTAATTAAAACTGGCTGTAGCAAAGCCAGGGCTAAGCGAGTACGCCTTGAAGGCTCCAGTACAACCAGTAGCCTCAAAGCCCTATTCAAAATCGGAAGACTGTACAGGAAGGTGGCTGGCTCAAGTAACCTCAGGCCCCATTGGGCGAGGTAGCGGTTGAGCGACCTTCATAACTAACTCACTTAGCTCAGTTGGTGGCCAAGAAGAAAAGGAGACCGTGCAGCTGCAAACCAAAGTAGCTGCAAAACAGGTGTGTCAAGCAGGTTTACACTGTTGCAGTGCAAACAGAGGGATGGGCAGCAGGGTACACACCTGCTCACACTGCACACTCTTGCACGGAAAGCCCCCCCCCCCTGTTGACTACACGTACCCTGTACTGGCCCTGCACAAGCTTCAAGAGTACGAGCCTCAGCCCAGCTGGCGAGGCGTGGTCAGAAAACGGGGCTCCTGGGCACCGCAAGCCTCAGCCCAGCTGGCGAGGCGTGGTCCTGTACGAAACAGCGAAGCGGCAAAAGCTTTCGTGTTCCTGCTGTCAGATCTCCTGCTCCTTAAAGACACACCTGAAGAGATTGATCACCTGCCAACTAGCTCTCAAAGCAAAGGCTCAAAACAAAGGCTGGACACTCGGGCTGACCGGACCGAGGATCCTGCAGAAAACGGGGCTCCTGGGCACCGCAAGCCTGCCAGAGCACGGAGAAGCGGAAGCAGGCAGGCTACGAAGCAAAGGCGATGCTGAAGTACAGTGCTTGAAAACCATTTTGCAGAGCAACAAGGCTGTCACGGCCTGCTGCGGGACCTTTGGTCCAGGTCAGTGCCCAGGCTGAGCTGCACCCTTCCACATCCTCGGGCCCTCAGCCCTAAGGCGAGGGCCCAGGAAGCAGTGAAAAGCAAAAGTTCAGGCGGCCTTCCACTCGACGGCAGGGCATCTTGACTCACCTGGTAGGCTAGTCACCAAGGAAAACTCCCTGCTGTAGCAGGCACCACTTGTAGTGCTGCGTAAGGAGTGGTCGTAGCCGTTGCAGCACCTCCTCAGGCGAGGTGTTGCTGACAAGCTGGAGTAGCTCCTGAAAGTGGTCTGGAACACTCCTCTTGACCGCGCTCCAGAAAGCCGAGGCGCGCTGTCTGTTCGGCCAGTGTGCCCTTTGACCCTCCCATGGAAGCCAGTCTGCGGTGTCCCACATCATAATGAAGCCACGGGCATCAACACCAAAGTTGAAAAAGCCAAGATCCTTGAGATTGTAGAAACGGGAGGCCTCCGCAGTCAGTGCCATCATGTAGCGGACCATATCAAGGTCCGGCGGAGCTGGCCTCCACACCGAAAGTGGAGTGAGCCTAGACTGCCTCAAAACATGCGTGGGGATGATATCATAGCAGCTCTTCCAAGAAAGCGTGAGCAGGTGAATACCCGCATCCAAAGTGCACGGCACTATATGAGGGAGCCGTCTCCAAGCTTCCGGTTCTGGCCCGTGGCCTTGTGGTGGCGCCAACTTCAGAACGTGTTCCGAGGAGCCAGGGTCAACGTAAACTGTCCGGGACTTTCCGAAACCCAGCCGTCTCGCTCGAGCAGCTTGTGTTCGCCCACCAGTGACAAAGTCATGGTAAACTTCAAGGCTTTCCGGAAGGCACTGGTAGTGGTTCACCGGATGCTTCACCTGGGGCGCAGCTGCACATAAGAAAGTGATTAGGCCATCCTCATGAAGAAGAGGGCCAAAGTCACTTGGGCGATCTTTCAGCGCGACTGCAGGCTGTGGTGTCTCACTGCTGTCAGATTGAAGACAGTTGCTGGAGTCGTCCTGGTCCACCGGTGGCTCTTCAGCTTCTGAAAGTCGTTGCAAAGGTAAGCCTTGGCTGCTGGATGCAGCAGCCGTAGGGGGTGGAGCCCTCAGCCCTAAAGGCGAGGGCTCCTCCCGTGCTGGGCCCTGGCTGCTGGAAGCAGCCGCAGTGGAGGGAGCCCTCAGCCCTGAAGGCGAGGGCTCCTCCAAGTCGTACGGCAGCTCCTCAGCTTCAAGATGTCTCGCCTCCGCACGAGGTCCTGGTGGAGGTGGTGGGGGCGGCCAAGCCTCCTCAGTTCTCCTGCCAGCGTGCTCATATTGTTCGCGGCGCTTCTTCTGTTTGCGGGCTTTCTTACGGCCCCGCTGTCGGTCTATCGTCGCCGCTGATTTCCATGATAATCCCCGCTCCTCACGGCGGAGTTGCGTGGATATGTGCCGCCCTTCTTGCTTGGGCGCCATGCTTAGCAGGCCTTGGGCCTAAAAACGAAGGGTGCGCTGTGTTGGGTCAGCCTTCGGTTTTGTTTTGGGTTTGGGTCTAGCTGGGGCCTTGGGCTTCACTGGCGGAACAGCTGCTGGCATGCCTAACTGAGATCGCAAACCTACAGAAACGGACTGACCAACTGCTCCTTGCACTCCTGTGGACTGAGTGACCTCGCCTTGGCACTCCGGCAACCTTGGGGCAGCCGCTGCAGAGGAGGCGACGGGCCCAGCTGGAGGGTTGACCTGGGCAGCGCTCAAAAGGCCAAGCTTAGGAACTGCAGAAACACGCTCTGGCATAGGGCCGGCACCGAAGGTGCTGGCAGATTGAAAAGCACTGGCAATAGATCGGGTGGAGACTCCACCAACCTGTGCCAAGGCGCAAGCCTTGGTGCCACTGTTTACTTTACGCCCTAAGCCTTTACATGCAGACTGAAGAAGGGACGAGGGCGAGACCGCGCCAAGTTTTATGCAGGCCAAACACTTGGCACACAAAAAGTGAGATCCTCGATTATGCATGTCATGGCTGGGGTGTATTTTCCAACTGGGCGGCACAGCTGCAGCAACACCACGGCACGGGTGTGTAATTTTGCGATTGAAAACATCAAGCGAATGACATTGTTCAATATATAAATTGCATTTTTCGCAATAAACCGAGAAGTTGTTGGCGGCCTTAGTCTCGCGGGCTTTCCAATCATGACCAAGTGCTGGATCAGGGGAGTCCAGCAACTGCTTCAGGCGCTGTTTTTTGTTAGGCGGCGGAACTTTAGTGCTTGCAGACACAGCTGCAGCTTGCGACCGAGGCTTGTCAAACTGGCTTAAGGAATCTCTAGCGGAGCGGGGAACAAAACCCTGGGCTTTTTCCTTGATCAGCTTCTCAGCCCTGGAGGCGAGAAAACAGTTGAGTTCCCGGGTTACCAGGTCGAGTTCCTTTACTTTGCGTACAAAATGCGGGGTGCATGCAGCAGCAGCTCGGCTCCCTGCGAGAGTGTCTGCTTTGGCATTGAGCTCGCGGCGCCAAAGCTGACCAGGGAATTCAGCCTCAAAGGCCTCAGCCGTGCAGTGGCTCCTAACCCAGTGCGGTTGAGCCCTTGCTCGCTCCTGCCAGACTGGACCCCATTCAGGGATATGTTTTTTGTTGAGAGCTCTGGCAGCCAGGGCTTTGAGAGCCGGCTTGCAATCACCTGTGAGGTCAAAGCTGCCAGTGGTAGCCTTGAGGGCTTCAATGATTGCGAGGGACTCCCCCTGAGGCACCGTGCTGCCCGGCGGAAGAAGGCCTGAGATGGTCCCGTGCTCAATAAGGCAATCAGCGCGGAGTTCGCAAAGCACGACCGACCACCCTACAGCCCTAAGGCGAGGGTCGTGGGTATTGGGACCTCCGCTAGCATCAGTACCTATGAGGAGCCCAGTGACATCAACCGGCTGATGACAAAACAGCCCTGTCACCCTGGTTTCCAAAGCTGAGGCCGAGACCTGCGGGGTCGTCCAAGCCTTTGGGACCATTCCTCGTAGCCAGAAGCAGGGGTCTGGGTGTTTGCGCTGAAAACTACGGAGGGCCGGGCTTAACTTAGCAGGCGCAAGCGGGCACTCATAGTAGACATGGTGCAGGGTATTCTCAGCCCCGCATGCGCAATGCGAAAACCCCCCGTTCCCAGCGTGCAAGGTGCGTCCTTGCCACACGGCATGAAAGGCCCATCGCGGGGATGAAAGCTTGGAAACCTTCAAGAGCTTTCGGTGGACTGACCAGTCAACTCCTTGCTGGGCACCTTGGGCCGTGAGGACTGCACCAAAGCGGGAAGCCCTTTCAAGGGCAACAACCTGAGTGAGAAAGCGGCGAACTGACAGGAAAAGGCCAGGGTTGGTGACATCAAGCAGAAGAACCCCGCTGCTATGAACCCAGCGCAGAGGATCACTGACATTGATGCGCAAATCAATACAATACTGCACCATAGCAGCAACCGGGCCTGCAACACACTTCCATCCATGCACGGCCGCCTCTTGGCGAGTCCAGGCCACCTTCCAGGTGCGGGCTAGGATTTCCCAGCCTTGTGCCGTGGAGGGGCCGAACATTTTATACAAAGCATCAGCCTGCGCAAGGACAACTGTCAACAATGGGTCTTGGCAACGAAAGGACATACAGTCCAGAGACACGTCGACAGAGCCCCACTTGGACCGCCCAACATGCCTGGAGATGGATGCGCGAACGACCTTGAGCCTTTTGGGGGACAAGCCCTGTCCCTGGCAACCATAGATCTCGGCCGTAAGAATGGAAGTGGCATACAACCTGTGGGCTTTGCAGCCTGTGCCAAGTTGGTGAAGTTTCTGGTTTCGGGCGCGGCCGACCTTGAAGCGTTTCAAAGCATGCGTAACCCTTCTGCGCTTGGCACCTGCCGAGTCAAGTCCAAGGTCCCGGACCAAGTCAGCAACCTGAGGATCGCCTTCAACACGCATACTGTTGAGTGCTTTGGCCGCCTTGGCACTATTGACAACAAACTTGGTTTTGGTTTTGTTAATGCGAAGCTTCTCAACGGAAAGCAGGGCCTCCAATTTCCTGGAGGCCGACAGGGCCAAAGAGGCCGCAACCTCCGGGTCAGCATGAGACACATCGACACTGATGTCATCAAGCCATAAATCAGCATGGCTGACCCCACGGTGCTGGGAGATGCCCTGCAGCGGAGCATGAGTGGTGAGTTTTGCAACCGTGGGTGCGTACGGGCACCCCTGAAGGATGCCCCTCTGGGGCCACAAAGCAACAGTGCTGACCCCCTCGCCATGGAGACAACGAGGCCCATTGTAAAGCTGAAGACTAAGTTCCAAAAGCAAGGGTGGAAATGACAAAGCTTTGCCCTGTGATATCAGTCGAGAAAAATCTACCCCATCATAGAAACCTTCAAGATCAACGAACAAAGTTATGAAAGTAACTTTGCGAAACTTATGATCTTCTGCCTTGATCAAGCGAGAAAGTGCTGGGTCAAGGGAAGTGTGTCCTGGGGTGGCGGAGTCGAAAGGGGCAAAGGCCGCGTACTCCTTTAACCAGCTCTCCAGGAGCGGGCGTCGCAGCTTGCTGTACACTCGCCAAAGGACCGATGTGAGAGATATGGGGCGCTCTTTTTCTGGGGTTTTTGCAAGAAGGGCGACCTGCACCGTAAGCATTTGAAGCGGCAAAGTAAGGTCCGTCTCAGCAAGACGAAAGAGCCCCGCAAGCTGTCGGTAGCAGAAGTCAGGGAGGTTACGCAGAGCCTTGTACGACCAACCATCAAGGCCTCCCTTCTTGTTGCCCGTGGCCAGGCACGCTGTCTTGACCTGCTCCCAAGATAGCGGTGACAGATCCTGCGCCTGCTGCAGGGCCTCAGCCCTTAAGGCGAGGCGCTCTGCAGACAGGTGAGGCTGAGGCGGCACAATTGTCGCATCCCAGATGCGGCTCCAGAACTCCATGCGACAGTAAGCCCGGGCAAGGGCCGACTGGTCCCGAAAGGGCCGGGCGAGAGTCTGTTCGTGGCTTTTAAGGGCACGATACACCGGCCCCATGCCAGCCGACAGGGCTCCAAACAGCCATTGTTGATATGACTCCGCCTGCGCTCCCTGCTGAGCGGTCTTAGCAAGCTTGGCCTGCGCCTCAGCATGGGACCTCAGGGCAGCGAGGTCACGATGATTTGAAACAGTGTCCCGGGCTTCGTCTGCCCATTGATGATGCTCAGGGCCGAGCTTGGAGAGCAGGGAAAGGGTTTCATTGGGCGGCCCCCCAGCCTTGAACCGGCCTGCGAGCTGGGACCAGACAGAGTGCTCGTGACCAAACCACTGGTAGTCATTGGGGGGTTGCGACACGGCCGGCTGACGAATCGTCGGCAAGTTTACCCCCCTGCCCATGGTCCTACCGAGTAAACCTGAGGCCTCAGCGGTGGCAGAAAACTCCGCAAAGGCGAGGGAGGCGGGGTCACAAGCCTCGATTTCCAGGAGGGTGACCCTCTGCGGTGACACAACCGGGGGTTGCAAATTGCGCTGGTCGTCAAGAATAGGGTCAAAGGAGTCAGTGATGGAGCGCAAATTTGGCTGGAGGTCCTGCAAAGACTTAAGAGGAAGGGTGCACTTAAGCGCCGCATGGGGCTTAAAGGGAACATCCCAGGCAAGCTCAAGCGAAAGATGCGAGGCCAACCGGGGGTGGACCAGTGCATAGTCCAGCTCGGCTGCGGTGCCTGCAGTAGGCATCCCAGTACCAAGTAACCGACCCTTTGTGAGGTCCTCAAGCCTGGTGGCGAGGACCTCACAAGCATCTAGGTTCCAGTCTCCAACCACGCACCACGGGCACTTGAGCGAGGCAATCACTGCATACATATTGGACAGGACCAAGGTATTGGCCCGGCCTTCAAAAGTGCTGCCTGACTCAAGATACAGCGACAAGAGGGCTAAGTCGAAACCCGTCACCCGAATAGCGACAGCTACGAAACCACAGCCCGTTTCAGGATCCTGAAAGGTGTGAACGTGTCTGGCCTGCAAATGCGACTTAACACACACCATCACACCCCCAATCTCCCGCTTGCGAACAGGGGAATGCTGGCCATGGACATGGTAGCCTGCCTTGGCGAGGGCCACCGTTTCAGCATGAAAGGCCCTCTCCGAAAGGTGGTGCTCCTGAATCAAGGCCACATCAAACTGGTGAAAGACCAGCCACTGCCTAAGTTCAGGTCTCCAGGAAGTCACATTTGCCGAGACAAACTTGAAAGTACGAGGCTGACCCGAGGAAAAAGAGTGAACTAAGTCCTCAGAAGCACGAGCGATGCGGGCCCAGGTCTCAAGGCTGTGATCCTGAATCTCAGTGGCCTCCAAAGACTTAAAAAGGACCCAGTGTTCCAAGGTGCCCTCCTGGCATTGCTCCTCAAGCCCTTCGGCGAGGTGCAAAAGGTCAGGCTCCTGGTTCCAGGTAGGATGCAAAGCTTTATATGCACTCAAGTTTAGCATGCAGCCCCAGCTGGGTGGGCTAGACCCTGGCTCACCCTGGAACACCTCAAATGGGCTCGGCGGAATTGTGGATTTTGAGTATTTAACGGACAATTCGGCCGACCCTGTTGAGTGGATCGGCGGAGTTGTGGAATTTGAAGGGTTAACGGACAATTCGGCCGACCCTGTTGACTGGATTGCAGAATCATAGTGGGAACCGTGCCGTTCCAAAAAGGGCATGATCGGTCCACGACACAACAAAGGTTTCTTGCGGTCCCATGGTTCATGTGGCTTGCAGTCAGCTGGCTCAGAGAAAAAGGCAGAGTGGAAAAACTTGGGTCCAGTCAGTGGGCAGCTAGAGGGGGGGCACACGGGTCGTCCCACAACCTTGGGATAAGCAAACCCCTCAGCTAGCTGCTCTGGCTGGTCAGACAGAGTCGGCAGGAGCCTCGAACCCTGAGGTGAGGCTCCGACCAGGCGCACGTCAGCACGACAAATGCTGGCCCGAGCCTCAATTGGTGAAGATCGAACATGGATTCCGGCACTGCAGCTGCAAATCTGGACTCCCACGGCTGTTGGCACGAACGGGAGGCCACAGTACCAGCACTTGAAATAGGGCACAGGTGACGCGTCAGGGCTTGCGCTAGGCTCCGAAACTTCCAAGTCACGCAAAACCTCACTCAGAGAAAGAACCGGAAGACAAAACCCAGAACCCTGGCGCAACCCCCCACCGAGACCCTAAATATCATCGGATTTTTCGCCTGCACGCTTGGGCGACCGGCTGCGCTCCTTGACTGGCTGGCTGGGCGGCCCTTTGGCATCTTCGGCTTCCTTGTTGGCCTCAGTGACATGGGCCGCCGAGCGCAACTGAGGAGCCAATCCCGGCGGGAATTGCTCCTGCTGCTGGGTCTTGCGGCGCTTGGCCTCGTCTGCGTTTTCCTTCTTGAGAGCTTCGAGACTGCGCTTTTGAGCCTCCGTAAGGGCCTCTTCCTGAATCCCCAGGGCCTGCAACACAGACTCGACTCCATGGTTGGCCTCTTCATTGCACTGCGTGAGAACCTTGGTTTCATACTCCTGAGTGGCTTTATTGACCTCAGTCTGTGCCTCCTGGATGGAGGTCTGCAAATCTTGCATCTTCGTCAGCAGGGCCCTAAGGTTTGCCTTGGCCAGGTCAATGTCTTCCTGCAGCTTCAGCTTGCGCTGGCCGAGGTCACGCAACTTACCAACTGAGTTACGCCACTCAACACCTGCAGCCTTACCTTCCTGCACTGGGTTAGGGACCGGTGCTGCTGGCAGAGCATCCAGGACTTCCTGGGGGAGATCATCACGGTTGCGCTGCAAAAGGCTGAGTAGGTCAACATCTTCCTGCTTCGGGGCCGGCACTTTAAAGCCAGCCTGCTCAAACTGCAAACACACATCTGCAGGCAAGGTGGACCACACCTTCTGGAGGCAACTTGCTAGCTTAGCTGGCTTCGGCTGCCGAGTTCGAGGTCGCGGCCTGCTAGGTTCTCTCCAAGGTGCCTGCGGTACATCAGCGGGCCAAGGCTTGCCACACCAACTGCACTTCGCAAACTTCTGCACTTTAGAGGCATAAATCCAGCTTGCAGGACCACAGGTTTTGCACACATAGTACCTACCTCCTGCCATGACTGTTCTCTCAGCCCCTAAGGCGAGTGAACAGCCCTCAGCCCTGGAGGCGAGGGCCGGCACCTGCACGCTGGAAAGTGGCTGGCAAAATGCCAGCACTGCACAAGTATGGCTCGCGAAAGGATAAGCTGGGATTCCTGTTTGAGTCCTGTTGCCCCAACGACAGTTAAGGCCCAGAGGCTCAGTTGAAAACAGCTACGCTCCCTACGCAGAACACCCACCTCTGAAAGCAGGGCTCGAGCCAGACTTGAGCCAGAGGCCTGAATTCACACCCCCTCATGCCCGCGAGTCAGTCCTCAGTCCTCCACTTATGCCTTTTGCTTTGTGGAGGCACACGTTGCCTTCTCTTTCTTCCGAAGCCTCAGGTGCCTCAAAGCCTCAGGTGCCTCAAACTACACCTAGCAGAGCACAGAGTGGGCAGGTGAAAGTACACCTTCGCACACAACTCCGAAAACTCTCTCAGAAGACACACACCGTTCCAACTCAGAAGATCAACTTTCTTAGTCACCCCAAAGTAGGCGATCTCGAGGACCTTCGAGCAGGTTTTGGACAACGTGACTCTTTCGGTAAAGACGGAGTAACACATTCGATTTCATTGGGCTCTTCAAAAGACACGTGCACCCCAGAAGGCTCGTTCTCCCAGGCCTTCGGTTCATCCACAAGCCCGGAGGCATCGTACAAACTAGCCAAGCTTTCGTTGGTTGGGCTTTTCGTGAGGGCATCGGCAGGGTTTATCACACCTGGTATGTGTTCGATAGTAAAACGACCTCGGGCAACGAGCTCCTGAAGGAACGCGGCACGAAGTTCAATGTGCCTCACTTTTCTCAGGAGGGTCTGCATCTTCGAGATACAAACCGCCGATTCTGAATCGGAATATCCCCGAAGAACATAATAACCGGTTTCCCTGTCTTTCGGCATACCCTCGCGGATGGTCTCCACCAGCAAAGCAATGTACAATCCTTCACGCGCAACCTCTGTGAGTGCAGCGAGTTCGGCTTCCGCACTGGAGAGTGCGGTGGTCGTTTGTTTTCTGCTAAAGCCCTTGAGGGCACAGTTTTCCCAAGTGATAATACCCCCGCTCACCGAATTCAGACTCCAACTGGCGTCCGTAAAACAAGATACAGAGGCAGGGTCCGCATCATCTTCCAAGATCTCCCTCTGACTCGGAAACATCTGGACTTTGTGCGGAAGACCCTTGACCCAACGAAGGACATCCCTCATACAGGTCTCAGCAGCCTCATCAGGAGCTGCCTGGTGACGGCCCAAAAACCCACACACAAACTGCAGGTCTGGTCGAGAAAGAGCCGCCCAGGCCAAACGGCCCAAAGTCCTCCTGTACCTTTCGTGAGCAGCCGGGCTGATCAACTCAGTCTGGCCTTTCTTCAGCAATTCAGCGTAGCGGCGTTCGAGGGAAGGGAGCTTTGGGGCAGGCTTGGTGATTCCGTACTCCTCGCAACAGGAACTCAAGTACTGTTCGTCTAGCCCGAAATACACAGCCCGCTCTCCTTTCTTACGGCGGAAAATCCTCCGACCGAGAAACGAAACTTCACCAGGGCAATCCTGAATCAACTCACCCGTAAGTTTCAGTTTGTATTTCTTTCGCAGCTCCTCATAGAACCTGCGCCCCTCTGCTTCATCTTCACTGTAGATAAGCAAGTCATCCACATAAAATAACACAATCGTCAAACCCTTCTTCGTAAGACGACGGAATATAGTGGGGTCCAAACTTGCTTCGAAGTTCTGAGAGCGCAAATATTCTGACAGTTCGCAATACCATGATAATGGAGCAGAGCGTAATCCGTTCATCGCTTTTCTAAGTTTGACGAAGACTCGTTCCCCAGTGCTCTGGGTGCTCACATTATTCGGCAACTCTACGAATTCTGCCCTCGCTACTGGTGCATGCATGAACGCCACGGAGACGTCGCAGGATAACACACTGCCGCGTCGGCAGAGCATGGAGAGTAGCAATCTCAGACCCTCCAATGAAGTCGTAGGAGAATATATTCCCTCACTCAAGGTGGTGCCGCCCATCGCGGCAAAGTCACGCACGACTAATCTGGACCTATACAGTCCCTTGCGTTTGACCGTATTGACCCAACGGCTCGTGAGCACACGCCGTCCGTTTTCCTTCGCAAGACGCCGAGCTTCTCGCTCGGGGATCACTTCCCCAACCTTGAAGGATTCCAATTCCTCCAATTCAAGCTTCATGGATGCACACAGCAGGTCTGGTTCTAGTTTCTCTCCAGAAGTCTCCGACACAGCGTTCTGTGGAACAGCACACCTGATCTTAGTACCGCCAAACTTCAAATCAAACGACTTAGAAACGGCAGAGGATGTTGCTCGAAGGTCAGGCCCTCGAAACAGAGACTCAAGATGGTGATTCGTGAGCCAGTCTATTTCCATATCCCCCTCATCGTTGATGACCTCTTGGTTCTCAGGGGCCTCCGAAGGAGAATAGTCAGCTAGCTCTTCTTCAATCATCTCTTCATCACCATCTTCATCCATGACTTCCCCAGCCCCCTCATCAGGAGCATCATCACCAGGGGCCTCCAAAGGATCAAACATGATGGGCCTCTCGGGGTCCTCAGTGTCCAGAACAAGAGGCTGAGCTAAAGCTAGTTCTTCCAGGGTCTTGGCATCGTAGATGTCACCTCCCTGAATCATCCTGGCTGCGGGGAATACATCTATTTCCCTGCTTCCGACAGGGACGGCAAAGATGCCGCCACCTTTGGCGTGCACCGGTCCCAGATAGACCGCTTTTACGGTTCGGGCGCCTCTGAACTTATCATGGTGCGCCTTGGACTTACTGACCTGAGCTTGTACCAGACATCCAAACGGCCTCGTGCGAGTCCGGTTCACAATCTCCTCATGTAGCCGATCAATGCTGGTGCTTGAATCCCCAATGCTGGTACACCAGAGGTTGTAGCACCTAGCAACATAGAACACACAGGCTTGCCAAAGCAAACCCCCCAAAGGAAACTGATACTTACCAAGTTCCACGGCATCACCTTCCTTCACCTTAGCAATCTCTTTCTCAAGGTCCAACCAAACAGACCAGAAACCCTGCTTCATAGTTTCAACCTGCCGCTCAATCGATCCCTTCGACTGGGGCCTGTAGCCCGGAACCACGTCAATCAAAGTTGCGCTGGCTGGGCTACTTTCGCACTTGGTGAGTCTCTCGGCAAGGGCTCCAAGAGCCGCTTCTTGGTCCATCCGAAATGTAACCGCTTTACCGACTAACCCCATTTCGCGAATAACACGGTTGATATTGTGGAGCAGGTCAGGGTCATCAAGATGCATAGCAGGAAGGGAGACAGTATATCGGGAACCCAAATGCATAAGGAGGAGCACTCTCAGTTTCCCGAAATAGAAAAAGTCAAGGCCTATCGTTTGGTTTTCTATCTGAAGTTTTCTTCTCAACCGACGCGCAGGAACGCGCCCTTTCGAAGCACAACAGGTCTCACAATTCGAATCGAAAGGAAAGTGTCCCCGACTACGGTGGTTATACAGAGACACAGACGACAAAGGGATCCGCAGGTCCTCGTCGGCTTCCGATCCAGGGTCTCCGCCACCATCGGGGGGCGACGGTCCATTCTCTTTTCGAGGTTTCTTTGGGTGCGCCAGAAGACGACTCTCGAGGATCTGGGTCCTCATCAAAGATTCCTTCAGGATCTAAAGGATTACGACTAGAAGCTTCAGGTTGTGAGGAAGTTGCGGGAGCAGGTCTTGAGGAAGGTTCGGGGTCCAAGTCAAACGGATCAGAACGTGTACCGGTCCCCGGCGACGGTAAACCTCTAAAGCGCACGGCTCGGAGCACGTGCTCAACTTGTTCCGTCTTCTTTGCCGGGGCCGGTTCATCATCTCCGGCACAAAGCATGCACAACATGCCACAACATGCGCACTTCAAGCTTTCAACGACATGCGTGCAAAAACGCTGTCCAAAACCTTTCACCTCACGACTCAAAAGAAGTTTCCTACTCACCTCGAAGCGGGCCCAACGGTCCCGCAGCTTAATCCTAAAGTAGCTTCCGCGTTTTCTAGAAAACACCCTGTAGAACTTTCGTGGCCTCTTTCGCGAAACCACTTTTCTGAAACACCGAAGTAACCCTGAAGAAACCCACAAAGCTATACCACAGAGGAGGCTGTAGACCGTCAGGAGGAGCACGATGATACCAAGATCCAGTCCTGGCGTGTACCCATTCCTGAAAGTGGCTGTGGTCTCAAAGGTGCGGGTTTCGAAGGTAGGAGGGTTCAAGGTGCGTTGTGTTGGTTTTCGAGCACAAGCAACATGCCACAGATCATGCCAACGCTCATGCCACACAACATGCTGCTGCAAAACGTGCTGCTGCAAAGCGTGCTGCTGCAAAGCGTGCTGATGCAAAGTGTGCTGCTGCAAAGCGTGCTGATGCAAAGTGTGCTGCTGCAAAGCATGCTCTCCGGAAAAATCTTTTGAACTCCAACCCCTCGGTGCGGATCGCCGCAGAATCAATCCTCCAAGAGCCTCTGGCCCTCTTCTAGGATCTGCCTCGCCTGCGCAGTCACTTGACTGTGGCTGAAAGATGGCGGGCTGAGCACAAATGCCCGTTCCTGGGCAGTCTGTCCTGTGGCGGGAGCACTCAGAGCCCTCGGAGGCGTTGGTAGACGAGATCTCGGTGGAACAGACGGAGGAATGTTCACTCCGTGCCTCTGAAAATCCTCTCGCTGCATCCCCTTCGGAAGCGTGGGCGCCGCAACTCGCGGGAGCCCAGAGGTGGCTGCAACGAGCTGTCCGGGTGCCACCGAGGACGGAGCCGGACTCGAAGGTGCCGGACCAGGTGCCGACTCCCCTTCCGGGGGCGGATTCCCAGCCTCGGCCCCAACAAAGCCTTCCAATTGGGACAGCCTCTGCCCTGTAAGTTCTTCCAGCGTCCGCCATATTGCGATGTCTGATAAATCTTCTTGGCTCTGGGCCCTGTTCAGCGCCATAACTTCTCCTTCTCCAAGGAGCAAGGACTCCTCGTCGGAGCTCGAAGAGGAGGTGTCCACAACACCTACGCCCTCCATCCTTGAGCCCTGAGGGGTCGCTGCCGATTTGGCACTTGCCGCTCGCATGGATTCCCGGGCCTCGTGGAGGCGCTCCTGCTCCCGTTTCCGTCTGTAATACCGGGCAACACGGAGGTATATGCCTGAGTCTAGGTATGCCCAAGCAGCTTTGAGCTCGATCGAGGTGACCGACTTGGGCACCTTTACGAGCAGACTCGATCGCGCTCCCACCAGTCCCCTGTATCCAGCAGGCGTAGCCAGATAGGTTTGCAATACAGATCGACAATGGAAGAGATAATGGAGGATCGATACAGCGTCGGGTTCCTGGAACCTTCGTTTCCACGCCGTCCGAGCACCCCTTGGAGCCTCCAGAAGTTCGGTAACCCTGACTGCGAACCCCACGTCCTCCATATGAAGCCCGTACTCTGCTAGGCTCTTGCCCTCTAGGCAACGTCCCAACCAAACCTCCCACTCCTGCTGCCCAATGATACATTGGGCTTCCGATTCCACCATCTTCGGCCTCGAAACCCTCAATGATTCCTCTGGATAGGCCGCTGTCACCGGAATCACTGGAGTGGCTGGTAACCAAGCAGCTGGATGCTCTAGGTCGGGCAGGCCTATCGGACCGAGCATCGTTGCCGTCGGAGAGCAAAGTGCTCTCAAGGCGTGCCCTGGAGCAGAGAATGCTAGGGATGGGGCATCGCAGGCATCGTCCATGTTCACTGGAGGACCCGCCAAGTGCGAGAGCAACGGAACAGGTTCGGTAGAGTCGACCGAGACCTTTGCAATGCCTAGTGTTTCCGCAGCCTCCCACCTGCGGCCAGCCTCCAGCCTCAACGCTCGCAGGAGGAGTTGGGTTCCCACATCCATCTGAAGAGCACCAAACGGCGGGCTCAGCGAGCCCGGCAAGATGTTCGCCGGAATTCCAACCCGAGGGGGCGTAGGCCCCTCGACCTCTGAAGGAACCCCAGCGCGCAGGCGCTTCGAGGGATTCGGCCACGAGGGGCCCCAACTCTCCTCCCCTTCGCTCTCTGAGAACAAAGGGCTCTCTGCAACATCCGCCTTCAGCGGACTCCTCGCAGTATCCTCCTCCACAGGGCTTCCAGCCGCATTCACCCGAAAGGGGCTCCCAGCAGCCTCTGCCTGCGAAGGGCCACCTGCAGAATCCGCCAGCAACGGGCTCTCCGCTGCTTCCGTCACCACTGCCAACGGGTAGATAGCCACCGGCGACGATGGTCCCCCACCCGGCGGCTCGACCCCCGGTAGTTCGAAAGAGGGGCTTTCTAAAGCCGGTGGAGTAGGCGGTTTCCCAGGAGAGCCTGGGCTGCTCACAGCCAGGCTCGGGGTGAATTCGTCCCCACTCATAGCACTCATGGTGAGAAACGGCTGCAGAAGCATTCAAACCGACCATGCAACTCATGCACAGCGCTTGCAGCAGGCTGCCGATCCTAGAAAACATGCGGAAATCCCTGGGCACCTTGGGTACTTTCGACCTTTTCACCCTCTTGTGGCTGAAGGGTCTGTCTTCTCTACTTTCCATCAAGCAAGACCCAGCCGCCATCGGCATCGCTCTCAGCATAGCTCGAATCTGGAACTTCGCTGTCGTGGGCACGTAGCCACTGCAACCCAGACCAATGTTGAATGCAGGCCCAACAATAATGATGGGTGTGAGCAGGTTTGCGTCTGATGCAGAGCTGCTTTCCGCACACCTCGCACCGGTGCTCGCATTCTTGCTTTGACCCGCCCAGATAGTTTCCCATAGCAGGAAAAAGAGGCGTATGCCGAGTCGTTCTGCAAAAACCGTAAGGGTAAAAGCCCGCTTGAGCAATCGCAAAATCATGGAAAAACATGCCCAAAACATGCAAAGCACCATGCCAACATGCGACTGTTTCCTAAAATCAAGAGCCATGCCAACATGCGACTGTTTCCTAAAATCAAGCGACATGCCACCATGCGACTGTTTCCTAAAATCAAGCGACATGCACTGCCTAAAGTCACTAGACTCTTCTAGAAAATCACAAAGCTCAATCTCCCGTGGTGCAGGCGCTCTTGGAGCAACTTCCGCCCTAAGACCCCGAAGCAGAAACCCAAAAGGAGTGGCAGCCAAAGCGTGGCGGCCAGACTCGTCTTCAGGAGTCTTTCTAGATTCCTTCTCCAGGCTTCTGGGGTCCTACGGTGGACTCCTTGCTCGATCCTAGCAGGTCGCGGTCCTTCAAGGCATCTATCTCCATATCCTCGATCCCTTTCGGGGGGCGTCTGGAAGAATTCTCTTTCCCCCTGCCCTTGGACCTCCCGCTCAGAGCCCACCAGGCGCGCGAAGCGCCCATCAGCTTGATGCTCTTCTTTCCGTTTCCTTTGTACAATCGTGATCCCGATTTGGCTAGATAGGTTTTCCAGCCCCGTTCCGACCCGGTCCAAGGCGAAACAACGTTGAACCCAACATCCGCCACCAAGACCTCTTCCAACCTCAGGAAAACATCTCCAAAATGAACCTCAAGGTCGACGACCCCGGAAACGACGATCGCACCGCCCGAGGCGTTGAACAGATTGGCCGTTCGGTCGTACTTCTTGACAACACGAAATCCTGAGAGATGCTTGTCTGAAACAATGTGGCAGGTGGCTTCACTATCGACTAGCCACAGGTCCCCGGGAGTGGTCTCGAGGGCCTTGCACACATGAGCTACGTCGCCGTGCTTCAAAACACGGGATCCTAAGGAGCCCATGCACTCAGAACCTCGACTCTCCGACTCAGGCGACCCTTCGGGTCCAGAACCCGGCTTCGGAACTACAAGGGCTTCCGGCTCCGGTCTCTCAGGCTGGCTCAGAACACGGCGTTCGGAAGAAGAGGGCTCCGAAGAGCCTCGCCCCGGACAGGAAAACCTCATCGCCATCACGGTGGCGTTTCCTCCCGACTCTGCCTCTGACTCGGGCTCTGTCAAGGAGCGTCCCTTTCCAGGCTGTCCTTTCTTCTTCTTTCCCTTCTTGCCTTGGTCCTTTCCCTTGTCGCTTTTGCCTTTGTCGCCCTTGCCCTTCTCGGAACCACGTGGCGTGCCAGATCCTTTCGGAGTCTGGTCGCCTTTTCCTTTTGGCTTTCCTTTGTCTCCTTTCCCTTTGCCTTTGGGAGCACCACCGCGCTCGTCCTTCTGACGCTGCCAACACTTCTCGGCTGTGTGTCCCTTCTTCCCGCAGTAGTCGCAAACCTTCTCCTGCAAGGCTCGGCCAGAAGAGCCAGGAGCCTCACACAGTCGCAGCTGCTCCTCGTAGTAAGTCAGCGTCTT